AACCGAGTTGTGATTGACTCAGAAGGATCACTGGGAAGTTAAACTTCTACCCATTTCTTTGATGAAATAGTGATGTCTGCAGCGTTTTAGGTTAAGTAAAATTTTAATGGTTCTTATATCTAGGTAAACCTAATGGAGTATGGCAAGATACTCTTCATAAGAATCATTTATATGAGTGTGAACTGGGCCGGTTCTATGAGATTTGTGAAGGGCTACAATTCTCTAGAGCACTCATAAAAGACCAGGTTGTTCAGGGCCAAAATGAACACAATAGTGAGAACTAAACTGTATCTGGGGATATACTGTGTGAGTTCTATTGTCTTGGTTTACACAAACGGCTGAACAGTTCAAGACATCATGTTCACTGGTTAGCTAGTAAATCTGATAGTATCTCACAAGGGAATGTTCAAAGCCAAAAGTTACCTATCCTTTACAGAATATTTCCAATTTCTGTACTCTATATAATTAGATCATGTTGTTGTATGTTCTCTCCGTTAAATTCCATTCATGTGGGGGATTGTTGGAAAATTGGTTTTTATTTTATAAGGCTTATTTTGGGCCAATTTTGAGCCCAAAATTGAGTAGGCCCCAAACGTCTTTTGGGGTGGGTCCGAAGAGATGACGTGTTCCATGCCGCATGGCAAGCTACATGGTAAAGACGGTTTGTCAAAACCATTTATGAATGAATGGGAAGTTAATGTTGTTTTTTGGTTCGTGGATTTGGACATTTAAGTTTAAAATGTAGGTTTCCTTGTGAAGCTTGTCCTACATTGAAACTTTAAGAGAGTTTTGTTGGGTTTATAAACTCTAGACTACAACACTTGGGTTGGGCCCTAAGGGGCACCCCACGTTTGTAGAATGGAAGAGTTATGGACAAAGTAAACCTTAGCCCAAACCACCACACAGGCACACATACGCCGCTGTCCGTCCGTCCGGTTGAGCCGAGCCGAGCCGTGCCGATTGTGGGTCGTGTTGGTTCTTATATTAATTTTTTTGGAGAAAATTCATTTGAATTTTTTCCAAAATTCTTATCGAAATTAATTCATTTATGATTTTAATTTTTCTATCCATTTGTTACTTTTTCAGTTTAGTTTGCAATCCGTTATATTTCGAACAGATTCATTTCAAACTGCCCAGGCAGTTACAGGTTCAAATCTCGACAGTTTTCAAACTGTCCAACAGTTAATCTGTTAAAACAGTTTGTAGATCTGTTTGAATTCAAACAGCACCTGTTCAATTCAAAAACCCATCTATTCACTTCAAATTTTGCACCTGTTCAGGTCTATAAAACCAGATCTGTTCCAGCACTTTTCCAGATCCAAAAATCAGTTTGCAATTTTGATATTGCTGTCCAGAATTTTCTCCTTTGCATTTTAATCTTCATTATAGTTTTAGAGAAAATTAAAGAGAGTATAAGAACACAAGGTTCTAGTTTGCCGGACAAATTTGTTTGGAGTGCTACTACAAATTTGTAAAGATCATTGTATCCTAGAAGATAGACGCCACTCAACCGTAAGCATCGTAGCGGGGCGAATCTGTCTTAAGGACAGAGTGTCACACACTCAACTTGGTCTTTTAATTTTTAATTCGGTTTGATAAATAAATTTGGTACTTTATTTATTTATTTGTTTGGCTTTGTTTCAATTTATTTTATTTATACAGAAGATTGTTCCAACAAAAACTAGATAAAATTCTCTACAAACCATAGGAAGTCCAAGTTTAGGAAAAATCTAAAGGTATCTCTTTAATTGCAATCTTTAAAATACACCAAAGTTGGAAATTTACTTTGTTGATAAACTTGTGTTCTTGAATTCATGGAAATGCTTATTATCACTTGTTCATGATTTGGTATGATATTTGCATGTATTATAGCTATATTTCTTACTATAATCCTTTGATGATGTTCATGCTTGCGTGAAAATAATTGTCTCAATAGTTTGTTCTAATTTTAACTTAAAACATTTAACTTGGGGTGGTGTTAGGTTTTCGATCACTTGAATAATGATGAGATGTTATTGTGTTAAGTATGGTTTGATGGGATGTGTCCCCTATTTGAGAGTAAAGTCTTGAGCAAGTGGTGTTCGAAAACCTTGAACGAACCAGTTATATTCGAACCCTTGGTGCTTGGTGTAAAAAGGGAATGGGCAAGGCCCTTATTTTACCGTCTCTTTTGGGTTCTCGGTTGGCACTACGCAGTATGTAACCGTTGGTAGACATCTAGGGTAAGTTCTGCAAAGTAGCAAAAGATAGGGTATACCGAATAATTCGAGTCCGATTCTTGTGGTTGGGAGGATGGAATCTCTTTGGGGGATTTTTAGATTACTAACATTTAACCTTGTAATCCTTTGTTATTGACTTGAATATCATGCTTCTTTACTTGCTTGTTATCATTGTGATGGTGTATTGGATTAGGAAAAATGGATGTGGTGTGTGTGCATTTATTGGGCATTCAAAACTCATGACGTTTCATGTTAGGTATTGAAGACTATTAGACCAGTTGAAGGCAAAACTGAAGTATTTGAGGACATACGGCTACTCTAAGAGAATTAGAAACTAGTTTGTAAACATGTTTTAAGATCGTAAGTGATAAAATCTCCTATTGTATTAAAGGTATGATTTTGTATTTATTATATATCTATACATACTTTTATATTACATATTTCTTATTTTCTCGTTGACTCATGTAATCCTTGTGTTAATACATTGTTAAGATCTATCAAAATTGTAGCTTTGCTATCTAAGGTGGTTAGACTTTGAAAGGAAGTTATATTGACTCCTCCAACATTTTTGGGATCTTACTTGATTAATCAAAAGATTTATAAGTGACGTTTTCTTCCCTTATAACCTTAGATAAACCATATATTTATTTGTTAATATATTTCTTGTTGTTCTCAATTTTTGTGGCGTTACACAAACCTTTGACTGTGAATCAATTCTTATATATATAGATATGGGTAAATTACACTAACACCCCATGCAGTTTCTGTTTAATACAAATCTTCCTTCACATTTGCAAAATTACATTTTCCTCCTTGAGGTTTGTAATCTCATTACAAATTGTCCCTAGATTGCTGATGTCATGCCCTAAAATTTTCTAAATGGCCATCTCACCATTTTTCTTACCATTTCTTCTTCCTATTATCATAACTACATTCTGTAACTTCTAATCCTTAAATTCTACCTGAACATATTCTTATTGAGTGATGATATACAAACATAAATTTTATATAGAATTTTCAAATGTTCCCTTACAACCTTAGACAATATATTTATTTGTTAATATATTCCTTGATGTTCCTAATTTTTGTGGCATCACACAAACCTTTGACTGTGAAGCAATTCTTATATATATAGATATGGGTAAATTACATTGACACCCCATGAGGCTTCTGTTTAATACAAATCTTCATTCACATTTGAAAAATTACATTTCCCTCCCTAAAATTTGTAATCTCATTACAAATTGCCTATAGATTGCTAATGTCATGCCCTAAAATTTTCTAAATGACCATCTCACATTTTTTTCCTACCATTTTTTCGTCCTATCATCATGAATACATTCTATAACTTCTTATCATTAAATTCTATCTGAACATATTCTTATTGAGTGATGGTAACATAAATTTTATATAGAATTTTCAGACACAATGATATAGTTTCATGGTAACTTTTCGCTTTAAAACAAAATACTCATAAACATGATTTATATTTACAATAATATCATTATTGCAACATTTTTATGATATTTTTGTATAAATTTTTATATATGAAAATAATTTTTCATTTTTATTTCCACCATTATATTTAGATTAAATTAATATAATCTAGATATATTTAAAAAGTACAAAATTTATACAAAAAAAAAATTAAAAAAAATCATTGAATACAACAAAATAAGATAATGTATTAAATTTTTGAATTTTTTTGTATTTGGTGAATTTAAAAAAAAAATCACAAAATATTATACTTCTCAATTATATCTAGATTAGGTGTATCTGAAAAATAAAAAATAAAAAATGTTTCAAATATTAAAAAAATTTAGTAAAAATAAAAAATAAAACACAAAAAATAAAAAAAAAAACTCAATTTTTTTTTGTGTGAGTTAGACTAAAGAAGATGATTGTTATTTCCTTTGAAATAATATGAACAAAATATCTGTATTATTTTATTATTTTATATGTATAAAGGCTAAGGGACAAATGTGTCATTTTAATCTGACAGGTGGATAAGTGTAATTTTTCAAATGTAAAGAGGGATTTGTATTAAATAGAAAACTCAGAGGATTTTAATGTAATTTGCCCTATATATATTAGTCTGATTTTATGGTTTTTTTTATTAATTTAATCTGGCTAAATTAGCTCTATTTGAAAAGAATTTTTGACTTTTTTTTGTTTGGAAATGAAGAGTTAATTTAGCCTAATTTTTTAATTTTTTAGCTAATTTAACTTGACTAAATTAGCTTTGTTTGGAAAGAATTTTTGATTTTTAATTTTTTCTTTTTGGTTTCGAAACACAGATTTTTGATTTTTTTAGCTAATTTAACTAGCTAAATTAGCTCTGTTTTGAAAGAATTTTATTATTTATTTATTTATTTGGAAGTGATGGTTGTGAGACAAAAGATAAAATAATTATAATTTTGATATGATATTTTATATTATTGACTTATTTAGAGGGTGTTTGCCATGTGGTAAAATGATACATGCTATTTTAACATATTATTCTATTTGGGTCACAATTATTTTATTTGAGTCACATTATCTATCTATTACATCACTCCAAATTCTATCTATATTTCTCATTTTTCTAAAAAAAATTAAAAAAATATATTTATTTAGATCATTTCAAATACACCATTAGTTTATTATATCTTTTTATATTCATTTAGTCAAATAAAAAAAAATTAAAAAAAGAAAAGAAGTTGCCAAACGCCATCTCATGATATAAAACCCGAAGGCAGGCCAGCCTGCCTTCCTTCCTTTTTCTTACAATCCAAGCGAGGGAGGGAGAGGAGACACGAACACGGAACATAAAGGAAAAAAAAGGTATGGTGTGTACACCCAGATTCGATCTGACAAAAATTGCATGGCTCTTTTTCTGCAGATTTTTGGTTTATGGGTTGGCGTTAAGTTCAATGATTCAATCTCTCCCATCCCATATATCTCTCTCATTCACCTCTCATCTTCCCTGCAACTCTCTCATATTTCCCCTCTCATTTTTCACTTGTCTTTCTCAAATTCTTGATTAAGTTTCAATGCATGTGTTTTTTTGTGTGGTTATATGTTAATTATTATATTCACTTTTGGTTCTGAATTTCAAATGGGTATTTGATTTTAGGGAATACCTATATCTCTCATTTTCCATGAATTCAGAATTTTCTTTCGGAATTCAGACTTCTCTTTTCCTGTCTGGTTGTTGGTGAAAAAGGTCTACATCTTGTGGGTATTTTCTAAGAAAATTCTCTCTCTCCCTCTCTCCCTCTCTCTTCTTGTAACTTGTAGGAGATGCTGCCAATTTTATTTTATTTTTTTTTGTTTCTTTCAATATAATTTAAAATTGTGTGTGTGTGTGTGTGTGTGTGTGTGTGTTTTACCTTGTATAATTGAGAAACCCAATTCATTTTATTTTGATTGTTTCAATTATTTGATGGTATAATTTTCAGGGTTTGTGTCTCCTCTTATTGAGCTAAGGGGTCTTGGGGGAGCCTGGACATTATGGAGTTGGATTGCAATGGTTGGATGTGGGATGGTGTATATTATTATCCACATTTATTTGGTGGTGTAATGCTTACTGCCGCTTTGCTCGGCTTGTCAACGGGCTATTTTGGTGGGATTAGTGTTCCTAGTTTGCCATATTTCTTGCCTGATTTGAGGATATTTCACAAGAACAAAAGTGGAAGGAAACGCACTCGTGTTTACATGGATGGCTGTTTTGATCTTATGCATTATGGCCATGCAAATGCATTGAGGCAAGCAAAGTCTTTGGGAGATGAATTGGTGGTTGGAGTTGTTAGTGATGAGGAGATTATAGCCAATAAGGGACCCCCTGTTTTGTCCATGGAAGAGAGGTATAAATATTTTTACTCAATGGGGTTTGTTACTCAAAAACATTCAGCTGACATTTCAAGAATGTTTTATGTGCTTATATATATATATATAATCAAAGAACGTACTTTTTGTTATTTGGAAATGATACCATGCATAAATATGTTAGTATATGTTACTGTGAGTCTTACTATTAACAATAAGGCAGTTGGAGCACTCATATTAGTGGGTACTGTTAATTATTATGCATCAGTTACATTGTTGGTCATCTATTCATTTTGAGCCTCGGGTCAAGGGGAGTGAAGATCGGCATTATAAAGAGCGCTTTATATAATATATTGAATTTTTCTGAAAGTGCTGAAAAAACAACAGACAATCATGAAGCCGTATCACAGGGATGGATTGAGAAGAGAATTCATTGTGTGGACATAATTGCCATAGTTTATTTGTTTGGTTGAATATTTGTTTTGCACAAAACTTAAATGGGTATGATCTCTTGGATGTTGTTTTACAAAAAAGTGTATGTTTAACAAACGTATGATAAATGCACAAGCATAAAGATACAGATAGATAGGTACAAGAAATGATGGTCGAAGGGATGTAGGTTTTCCTCAAATGTTACTCATAAATAGCAATAGCGGTATAGATGGTTTCCTTGTAAAGCCATGATGAAGCTTATGTAAAGTCCTTGAGGGTTAAGTCTTGTCCATTCCAGTTGTCTGAGATGCGAACTGTATAGAATTCCCTTGCTATAATTTTCTTTTTGATCTTTGGGTGACTCAAATCTAACTCTAACAGTATCACTTCTCGTTGAATACTTCTTTAAAACCATAATACCAGTTCTGAGACTTGTATGATCAATGCCATAAAGTGTGTGTATGCATTTTTTTCTGTGCAAAAGAGCATGTTCAGTATGGTAGGTGTATCTTATCGCATTAGGGTATTGCAGGATACGAAACCTGTAAAGAAAGTATAAGTATACTTGCACAACATGGTGTAATAGTAATCCTAATGACACCAAGGTTACTCTTTAAGGTGCTACATTGTACTCCTAGGAAGCAAGGACACGAACACGGTGACTTCAAAAAAATGGGGACATAGACATGGCGAGAACATAATGAAAAAAGAATATACATATATATATGTTATTTGCTATGTAGGTTCATAGTAATCCACAAAAAATTAAAACTACAAAAACTAGCACTAGTTCAATATTAAAAATAAATAAAAAAACCTACTCTTAATTTAACTCTTATAATTTATGTCGTTTTATGGATGATCTAGTAATTATTTAAATCTAAGCAAAAAGTAACAAACATTCAACATCCAACATCTATTCGAAGCACTAAAGAAGAGGGAAAAACAACTAGCTGGCATGTCCCTTGAAGGCAAATTAATTTAAATAAAGGCTGGCGTGTCTTGTTGTGTCCTTGTTGTGTCCCCATGCTGAACATTGCTATAGCACCTATTTTGAAGTGTTGGTGCTTCATAGTTGTACTCTCATGACCTTAAAAGAAACATTAGTTATAATGACAACAAGATAATTGAAACAAAGTAACAGATTTAAGAAAGATGGGGCAATGTCTTGAAAAGGTCTTCTAATCCCAAAGTAAGATATGGGTAACAAATACACTTGTTTAAGAATTTTATTGGAGAAAGTCACTAAATGAGTTGAAATGGTTGGCTGCTAGTGGATTTCCACCTGAAGTTTTGGGGGCTACACAAAGTAGTGATGCATCGGGATAGGTGAGATCTTCACAGAGGCCAATTCATACAAAAAATTAAAAAAATAACCACCTCTATCTAAGATAAGAATTACGAAAATCCATGACACAAGCACAGCAAAAACACATGAAAAAGGGGAAGGAAAAAAAAAGGTCCGTATCATTTGGTAATGTTATACAGGGTTGGTTAACACAGTTGGCAATGTTAATTTAATCGATGACTATGTTTGTAAAGTTTCTAATGTCCATTTAGATAAATATATGTTTTGGGGGTTTTGAGGTAGTAGATTTGTGATTTCAAGAAAGATTTAAACCTCAATTGTAGTTCTCTTTCTCTTTTTTTGTTAATGACGAATTAATGTGATTAAATATGATATTTAGTATATTTAATTTCATCTGATGTCAACCCGTAAACTTTACTCAAGTTGGATGCGTGTCTTCGTTTGTGCGACTCTTGTGATATGTTTCCAATATGCATATGTATATACGTACCTAAAGTTTCTATGTATAACTTTCTTTTTTGGGTGGTTAAATCATTTTTCTTTCTATAACATAAAGATTAGTATAGCTATGTGGTACAATGTGATACACTTTTTAGAAAATAGGAAGACGATACCTGATTTAGTTCTTTGAGCTGGCACCTATGTTAATGCTCTTGTTAGCATTTTTATATATGCTCATTACCAAGCACTAAGAGAGATAAAGTGCTATCACTATACAAAATGAAGCAGCGGCTAGCTCGCTAAGCTAAGATCAACCACTTGGAGAACGTGGAGCCTTTCTTTCTCAATCTACAATTACGAGTGTATACACATTTTCAAATATTGGAGTTTGTAGTATGTGCCACCCTATAGATGAAGGTTTTTCAAGCCTTCAGACTCCAACATGCTCAGATAAATCCATTCATTCCGATTAGCAAAATTATAATTATACTTAACTTTGTCCAATAATCGGTAGAACTGATATGTGGGATTCTGGTTCTCCCTATTTAGCCTTGTGCCCAATGGAATGGGGATTTGGCTAATTAGAACATGGGGATTTGTTAGTCAAGTTTCTGTTTCATTGTTATTATTATAAAATATCGAAAATTCAATTGAATTAAAGACGTAGGTTATTTGATCTGGTTTAAGAGTTCTATCTTGGTGCAAATGTTTCATAATACCTTCTAGTTCATTTCAAGGATACACACAAAAAGAATATATGTCTTCATTTTAGTTCCATCAATTATTATAAATTATAATGATCAAGATATGTCACAAGTGTCTATAAATTTTGTTGTCTTAACTCATTAACAGAATTGTAAGAACAAAATTTTGAAAATGTCAATGTTGTCACTGGATCAGTCAAAAGTCAGTATTTCTTGAAGGCTCAAAGCCAGTTCTCAAAGCTTATATCAATGCAGGTCTCACTAGTATGATGAAAAATTGGACCCATACTAATAATGTGAGCTTTACCAAGGAAAATTATGATGAAGTAGAACAAATAGGTTAAGTGTTTGTTAAATAGCCCATTAGGTGCTGTTTGATAAAGTTGAAACTAAAAATTGAAAATTAAGTATTGAAAACTAAATGCTGAATTTTTTAAGCTGAAAAGCAGTTTGATAAAAATTTAATTGCTTAACTAAAAATAAATTGTTTAATATGTACATGATTAAATTTGAAATTTATTATTTTTAAATTGTATATTTTAATTTTTATGTTGTTGTGGTGGTGGTGGTGGTGGTGGTGGTGGTAGTAGTAGTAGTAGTAGTAGTAGTAGTAGTAGTAGTAGTAGTAGTAGTGGTGGTGGTGGTAGTATGATGGTAGTGGTAGTTGTGGTGGATGGTAGTAGCGGCGGTGGCATGGTAGTAGCGATAGTGATGATAGTGGTGGCGGTGGCATGATGGTGTTGGTTGTGGCGGTGATGGTGGCGGTGGTGGTGGTGGTGACGACAATAGTGGTGGTGGTGGTGGTAGCGGTAGTGATGGTGGCATGATGGCGACGGTGGTGGTGGTGGGGGAGGTGGTGGTGGTAGTGATGGCGCTGGTAGTGATGGTGGCATGATGGTGGTGGTAGTGGTGGTGGGAGTGGTAGTGGGAGTGGTATTGTTGGGGGTGGGGATGGTGGTGGTGGTAGCGGTAGTGATGGTGGTGGTGGTAGTAGTAGCCGCGGCGGCGGTGATGGTGTTGGTAATGAGTTTATGATAGTATATATTGATACTTATGTTTAGTATTTATAAATTCAGTTAAAATTAAGTAAGTTTTATATAACTTAAATTTTTCTTAAAATTTAGCTTACATTTTCAGAGATACTTAAATTTTGAAGTGATATCAATTGTGGTTATCAAACGGACTTAATTGATTGTCACTTAATATATTTAGTTTTAAGTGCTGAATCATGTTATTAAACACCCCTTTAGTTGTAGTCTATAAATAAGTGATATAATATTCCATTGTACTGAGCTTTTGATTGAAGAATATACATTGTGATTGGAGTAGAGCTTGATTTCTCTCTCTAGCCCTTAGGGGTTTTACCCCTAATTAGGGTATTTGTCTTCTCTCTCTCAATTTGATCATTGATTTGCATTTGGATTGCATTATGTGGTATCAGGCAATAGATCTTGTACTTAATTGTTCCTAATCGTACATACAGTTCGTCAATTAGGAAGGAGGAACATACCTAATTTTGGATCTGAACCCTAATTCTTGGGTGCAAACCCTATATCGTCTCACCAGAAGTTGCCATCACAAGTCTAATCGACTTGATCCGAAGCCATAGATTCAACATCGCAACATGATCTCGCCCTAGATCCGACTCAAACCAGACCTGGATTTGACGTTATTACGGGGAGCCTGGACATCGTGACTTGGTTGACTTCATCGTGACTTCATTTCGCAAGTAAGGTGTGGTCGCAGAACATTGAAAGTTGTCTTCCCATAGTCACGATTTGTGATTCTTCAAAGTTTCGAAGTCCTAGATCCGAACTCGAATCCAAAGTCCTAGTCAAGATCTGATTTTGATCCGAAATCCTAGCCAAGGTTCGACTGCGATTCCACTTGGCTAAGATCCGACTTTGATCTGAAGCCTTAAATTAGTTTGCGATTGATTTTTGTGCTTGCGACTTGAATTGAGAACAGAGTTCAATAATGAAGATTCGACTTCAATCTGAAGCCCTAAATCAGTTTGCAATTGATTTTTGTGCTCGCGACTTGGTTTGCGAACAAAGTTCGACAATGGATCCTTGTCTTCTTGATGATCATTCGATAAACTTCCTCTTCTCTTGAATCGTTGGGATCTCAGTGATCTAGTTGTGTTTGCAGT